TTTTCAGACGGAAAGTAAATTGTCGGTTTACGCCGGCAATAATTTTTCGTGCCGCCGTAAAACCGGAAGCCGAACGAGCAAACCTTCCGCGGATCGAACGACTTTTCACATCGATCTACCTACCGAACGGCCACTTTCCTTTTCAATTCCTGCCGGAACCAAGACGCGGAAGCTTGTATCCAGGTTGCTCGCCGTAGCTCTTACGTCCGAGGAATCCTGGATTTAGTATCGCCTACGATTTTTACCGTTTCACCCTCGTTTCCTTGATGGAAGACAGCGGAACAGAGGAGACATTCATCTGAAAGCCGACGTATAAAGCGAGTGTTCGATTGTCCTTATCCGGTCGCGCAGCCCACCGGCCAGTCACATATCATAAATTAATAAACAGTCCTTTCCAGCCGTCTTCCTAGCCCCTAACAAATTCCTTCCCTATCATAAAATAGTTCAAGTCGCACCCTGGTCATGTTTCCTATCCCTTTCCCCTTTCCGGGCTTTCCCCAAATTATTTAAACTTTTGCACACCACCTTCACCCTCACGTTCTCCTTCCACTAGTTTCCTAATATCCAATCACACCTCCGCATTTTTCGAGACCTTCTTTTCCACCACCTTCAACGTCCAACCAATCACAACATACACCGACCTAATATATACCCACGCACCACCACAAAATAACTTTCAAAAAAGACACTTCACTAGGACAAGTAAAACCAAAAGACACATCCCAAGTATCATTCCTTACCTCCGGAAACGATCGTAAGGAAATCCCTGTACGATACGCGGTGTCGAAACATCGAAGTGAAGAGTTACGACCTTCACTAACGCGCCGTCTTTATTAAAGTAGATCGCGTTGCATCGCGAATTCGTGCAAAAAAAAAGCTACAGGTTCGGTTGAAAAGATCGAAGAATTGTGGGCTTTCAGCCCCTAATTATTCCGAAATTCGCAGAATTGCAAAACTCGATCTTTCGTTAAGAAACGGTACAACTGCTGGATATCGATTTAAAATGAGAAAGAAGCGAACTACGGTGCATCCCAGCAAATATCCGCGAAGGAAAGAAGCCCGAGTAACGCGAGCACAGGGGAGACTTTATGAAAGAATAACACGTGAAGTTAATTCTAATGGCCATTCCGTGGATTAAGAGGATAGCCGGGGAGAGAACGGTGTCTCTATTATCCGGTTTCCCCTTTTCGCAAGATTCCATTTGCTATGCCTGCTCTGTGCTCGCGGGGGGATTCTCGCCTCGACCCGCGTGTGTTTCATCGAGAAATTCGATTCTACGCGATAATGAAAGTGCGCCTCTCGCCTTTTCCTCTCCGCGCGGTCCGCGAGAATCGCGTAAACCCGGTCATTCAGGGGGGAGGGAAAGGAGCAAGCAATAAGTCCGCGAGTGTTAAATTAAGGGCAGTTCGAATTAAAAGTACCCGGGGCAATTTATTCCTCGGCGTATAAATAAAGTAAACGACTAAACGAGCATTCTCCCGTGCTTATTACACGGCGAGAAATGATTTATAGAAAACTTTTCCCCCCCGGTTTCGCGGAGGAAAAATACGCGAAACGTGGTTTTTTCTGCGGATCCTCGAGTTAGAGCCAAGACGGGACCGACTTTCACGACGGACGAATATTCGCAGCCGCTTATTACGAGCGTTGGGTCTCCCTCCGAGCTCGAGACGACCTACGACCTTCCCTGCAACCCTCACCTAGACGCCACCGCGAGACAACGAACGGCGAAGAGCCGGCGGTCGTCGCGGCGCGCACTTATTTCGGCGAAGCGTCGCGTAAAGCACGTCCTCCAACCCTGCTTCCAGCGGCAGACTGTTTTTACTTCAACAGAGGGATGCAACGCTGTTCGTTCATTTTTCCTCACCCTTACTCTTTGGAAAGTTACTGTTTTTTCAGAAATAGTCACTTTCCTTTTAACTTTCTTCGGTCGAATGGGTGGTATTGCGAGGAGAGCGCGAGAATAGAAAAGGTCGTGATAAAATGGCCGCGTAGATGGTCGCGAGGCGAATTATATGGAAAAGCTGAGCCACGCTCGACGAGTTACTATCGATCCCCCTCGGAAACAAGTTATCGCTTCCGCCGTACCCGATCTGCGGCTGATACGACCGCCGGTGATTATCGGGCCTGTTCGAGAGAGAAAAAACAATCACTCCGACGATCTGGAGGATCCAGGCGTTTCCCGTTGATTTTTCGCGCAGCCTTCCGCCGAAAATGTTCAACAAATCGATCTCGATACCTGTTCCTCATATTTTCCACTGTTACTTCCCAGAGAAAGTTTGGCAAACTTGGAGGAATTTCTCCCGAACTTTCAGCCGGTAGTTTATCACAGTTCGAAGGACCGCTCTATTTTTAGCCCCTTCGGACCTGTTTCCCCCTTAAGAATGGTAACCGTTTCGAGTGGCGTGTACGGGACATTTGGGAAAACAGTCTCGTCGGTACGGATCATTCAAAAAGGCGGAAACAGATTTTTTTTACTGCCCTCCGACGGTTTCACCCTCGGGAGGGTGGAGGTGGGCTATTGGCCGAGTAGCGGCAGTATTCGAAACGCGTGGAAAAACGATTTATCTCGCAGCGTATACACATACATAGAACAGTAGTACCGCGAGAAGGAGGAACCCTTCCGCAGGCGTATCCATTATACACGTCCGTATTCCGGCGAGCGCTTCTCGCGGAAGATCGGCCTTTTATTTCAACGGAGTTCACGCGGCGCAGATGCCGGCGATATTACTTTCTCTGGTCCCTTTTATGGATATTGCCACGCCTCTGCCGTATTAATACAGCCGCGCGAACATGTCGTTTTGCCTTCGTTAGGCTCGCCTGGTTTTCTCTTCTCTAATGAAAGTGTGTCCCAGATATTATTTGCCGTTCAACATTTTTCAATGATTAAATTTCCACTTTAATCTGTTAAGTGAACGAAAGAGAAGGAGCGCGGGAGGTCAGGTTTCCTCGGTTCGGAAAAATCTTCGTCTTCCGAGTTTCTTACGCGAGGCGAAGTTAAAAAAGATGCTACGAAAAGGGAAACAGATATACGCCGAGTGTCCACTGTAACGAGAGTGAAGCAACGGTGACTCGCCCTTGTTCTTTACGACGCCATCAAGGGCGAGTTCGCGAGGCAGTAAAGCGATAATTGGCAATTCACCAAGGAGGATTATCTAAGAGTCATATCACCGTGAACTCCTGATGAAGTCCCTGCCCGTTAACAGTATCTACCTTCCTTCCCCGATCCACGAACCTCGTAATCCAATTCAAGATCCTCCAGAAAAAAAAGAAGGAAAGACCGACCTTTTTCTTGGGGGTTTCTTGGTCGTCTCGGTACTCGATAGACACATAATAACGATCGTTGTCCCCCGATGCTCCTCCCTACCCCTATCGTTTCGCATCGAAAGCTCTTTTGTAAGACGCAATATGTCACTGGGCGAGGCTGTACATAAAACACGCGCTGCTTTACGAGCCGATCAGATGGCGCGTGTATTATTACGAAAGCTTTCGAAACCCCTTCTCGAGCTTGCATGGACGATAAAATTCTATGCCTTCTCTCGCGATCTTACGTGTCCCCCTTGTTCCTCAGACTGCTGCGAGATTTATTAACCGACAGAGTGAAATCGAAACTTCTCTCGTCTTCCTACGCGATGATATTCTCCTACTTTCGGTAGAGCAGAGAGATTTTCCGAGGGAGAAAGAATCTTCGACGATAAGAAAGCGGGGAGAAGAAGGAGGACAGTGTATGTTTGCGAGTGGACGAGGCAGGTAACACGGTGCTTTTACCTTGATCACTATTTACAGCTACGTTTCGCATTACGTTGATTATTCGCGCCGTACACACGCCAGTCAGCGATAGCCGCGTGATAACGCGCCGTGATATCTGCCCGTATCTTTCCACGTTTTATCGACGTCGTAACTCAGCCTGAGACGGTTCGCGGACATTCCGCGAGCCATCCGACGTCCACCTGCGTCGAACTACCTCTCAACCTGCGATATTATTTTTCCACGGAATAGCCGCGCCAAGGATTCCCAGCGTCCTTTATTTCCCGGGCAATCGCGAGCCGCGCTCTCTAATCCAGCGGTGTTTGTTGCACTCTCTCGTAACTTTGCATTTATAGTTGGGGCCACGATATAGCGAGGTCGTAAATTAAACTCTCAAGAATCGGCATCGATTGATGTTGCGGCACTCAAGGCCGTGTGTTGCAGTCTGTTTGAGGGTTCCAACAATAAACGAATGGTAGCATATGATTTGGTACTTCAAGTAGAAAATGGTATTTCATTTACAAATGGAAAATATGTTAATATTAAAGCTACACAATCCTTTTGCATTTTCTATCTGTATATAACACGAGCAGGTAAATGAAGATGTTAAAGACCTCGATAAGACCTTTACCTGTAACCGTACTTTCAAAAGCGGCTTTTCCCAGAAGAAAAAAACCCTAAATTGTCCTAGCTGAACTCAATTTTCAGTAAATATATTAGAATCAGTTTGACTTTCGCTGGATACAAGAATTCTTTGTACGGTCCTGACCATGGTTTCAAGTACTTATCTGCTCGTATTTCTGTCAATTTCGGGGTCCCGGCAGCTAAAACATGTTTACTTTGACACCTAACCGATTTTACGACCTCGCTATATCGTGGCCCCGACTATACCTCCGTGAAATATAGCGTGCGTTGCGAACGCGCGAGATTAAGAAGAGCCTGTGACAAGCTGATATTTGAATAGTTCGAGTACGTCGAGAAGAAGAACAGAGAGTTGAAATACGAGAGCGTATGTAGCGAGACTTGACGAGCTTGCAAGCAGTATTTACGAGCTCTCTGTCACATGTAAGATCGAACGTCCTTTCACGTCTAGTATTTTTCATCTACCGAACACTTTGCTCGAGACTTGCTACCAGATGGAAGGCTCCGGGACGAAAATTCAACGCTGTTGCGCTAAGAGCGCGGTGGTAACAGTACTTCCGCTTGAAAAAAGAAAGTCGAGTGTAACGTGATTTGCGACTGCTCTTTGTTCCCAGATTCCGAGCAGTCGCCGGCTGTGTACTTGAGGGACGACCCGCTGTTCGGCAGCTTGCAGCTGCAGCAGCACAGCGAGCTCCGTGCACCGACTGCAGAACGTGCCGCCTTCTATTTGGACGCGGCGGTCGCAGGCCGACAACGAGAAGACGGCGACGCTCACATGCTCTACACACTTCACGTTTATCAGTACAGCGTCGCCGGCAAGGGTGGAGGTGAGCTTTTGCCTTCTCCTTCCGACAGATTCCCTCCTCCTTCGTAGTCGCCGCTCGTAAACAGCGTTTGTCATCGAGCTTTCTCCCCCTTCGTTCCGATGGAAACTCCGTTTTCTCTCTCTCTCTCTCTCTCTCTCTCTGGCTCGAGAGTGGCTTCCGTTCGCTGAGAACACGGCTACGTGGAACCGGTGCCGTTGTTTCTTCGCTACTGAGCACCGAGACTGCAAGCCGATATCCTTACGCGCGAGTATTGGGCGCACTCTGGAAGTTGGCGGTCGGAGGAACGTGACTGTGATTGGTTACTGCTTATCGAGACGTCGGGGCTTCGATTAAATCTTGGCGAAGTGAAGACAGTAATCGCTCGCAAGTCACTTGCCTTACGTGAACGTGAGAGAGAGAGAGAGAGAGAGAGAGAGTCAGCAAGATGATTTTCAGAATTACGTCGATACTTTTTTTAGTCCTATGTAGTGTCGCGAGAGCAAAGATTTCCATTGAGACGCAGAGGAAGTAAACGACTGGATTAACACGAGCATATTTTTAATTCCCCCCAGTGGCCGGCGGCAGGAGCAGGCTTCACCTAATGGACCTGGGCAATTCGGATCGCGGCAAGTCCTCCGGCGGGATCCCCCTGTCAGGCCTCGGCAATATCCTCTTGGCGATTTTCAACGGGGCGAAGCATCTGCCGCACAAGGAGCACAAGCTAACCCAATTACTGAAGGAGTGTCTCGGCTCGTTGACGTGTCACGCGGCGATGATCGCCCACGTGTCGCCCAACGCTCAACACTACACCGAGACTCTAACCACCGTGCAACTGGCGTCCCGCATTCACCGAATGAGGCGGAGGAAGATCAAGTTCGTCGGAGGAGGAGCACAGGGAGCGGGGAGCGGCGGAAGTTCCGGCGAGGAGGCGGCCAGACAGAACAGCGAGTGCGACCCAAGCTCCAGCGACCTGTCGGCCGACACCGTGATCTACGTCGGTCCGAGCACCGACGACGCCACCGACGGCGAGCATCCTCCCGTCTACATACCCAGTCTGAACTCTGGGGACAATCGTTGCGCAATGGGAAGAATTCTACGCGGCTCCGTGGCGGAGAGACCGTGCAAAATTCCCGAGGAACGCAGTCCGGTGCACAAGGCGACGAAGGCTGTGAAAACTCTGACTCAGACCGCCTCGAAACAGACCTCGCCGGCGCACACGGCCACGCCGAAGGCTAGCCCGGCCAGGAAGAGCTCGTCGACCAAGGTTTCCTCGTTGAAAGTGAACGATTCGCCTGGAAGTAAAATTCCGGTCGCGGCACCGAGCGGTGGCTCGGACGAACAGTGGATAGACGGACCTAGGATCTCGAAATCGAAGGTGGCCGAGGCTAGACACATGTTGAAGGATTCTCATCACAAGAGAGAGACCTGGATCGACGGACCGATGCAGCTAACCGGCCCGCCTACCTTGCAGCTGCACACTCAGCAACATTCCTCCGGTTACGGGTTCATGGACAGTCACAAGAAGAGCATGATCAGGAAGTGGGTGGAGAATCAATCGTCGCAGATTCAGAAGAGCCGGCACGCTTCCACCAGGGAGTCTTCCAAGATGTCTGGGCAGTCGTCGCAGTTCAAAGAGATGACCACGTTCAAGTCGTGCGGAGCGATCGACGACGACGACACGTCGTTGTCTACGGCAGAGAGCGACAGTCTGAAGATGAACGAGATCGAAGACATCACGGAGAAGTTGGGCGCCAAGCTGAATCTCCTCAACGTGAAATCTAACACAGACTCCGGCCTGGATCTAACTGCCAGTCCTGTAATGGACGACAGCGTGGACAAAGGGAAGCTGGATCTTCAGGAGGACGAAGACGACGACGAAGAGATCGTCGTGCCTCCTCCGTTGCCTCTAATTGAACCCCTCAGCAACGGAGTGAGCAGAGAAGTTTCGATGGAGAGCCTGAACTTGTCTCACAAGGACATCGTACTGCCTTCTAGACACTCCTTGTCCTCGGAAGACGAGATTCTGGAGATCGTCGAAGTAGAGGACCTAGAACCAGTTCCCATGCAAGACTCGTGCCTCCAGGTCACCGAGGAAGACATCGCCCTGTGCATGGGAGAGAATCCTCTGCCGGAGAGCGACCAGGAGGAGCATCCTCTGAGAATTCTCAGTCAAGAGAATCTGACCGTCGTCTCGACCTTCACCGGTAAATAAATATAGGCGAATGTTTCTTTTCTTCAAATACTCGATCCAACGATCCTTCGACAGATCGTGACCAGATTTCAAGGTATTAGACGCGGGGGAATATTTAGAGTTGTTCTCGAGGATTTTTCGCGACGTTTATAGCGTCCCATAATCAAGCTGTCCTTCGTCTCTCTCCTCTCCGTTGTAAGGGTACTCGAACGGAAGGCTTCGAAGATTGTTCCCGGGGAGAGCCGATTCTTAGATCCTCCGGGCTCGGTAATAGCGCGCCCGATGGAAAACAATCATATCGCAGGAGAGGGGAACCGAGGGAAGGCGGCTCGGGGATTGTAACGATAAAAGAGGAATAGAGAAAGAGGGAGAGATTGAAAGCGGCTCGATATAATTACTCGTCGATACTTTTCGTCTTCGAGCTAGGTAGGAAAGCTCCGCAGCTAAATGCACTCCTTCTTCTCGTTCCTTCTTATCTCTCTCCACTTGCTTCGTCCCTCCCCCTCGAACAGCGGTATCCGGCAGACGGGGGAAAAAGAAATGCGTATTAATTTTGCAGACTCGATGTCGGTGATGTCGGACACGGAACGATATAGACCACAATATCCACCTCCGGTTGGTGCCGGTGTTTTACCCAGGCCGTACTTCGACCACGAGGACTTCCTCGAGCAAGAGACCAGGCACAAGTTCGACCAATTGGCTCGGCTCCACGAGCTCTATCAAAGTAAACTCGCGTTGGCCAACGTCTCGAACTCGGTTACCTATCAGAGGGAGAACTCGAACGTGAACGTCAGAGAAGCTCCATGTAAGTTTTCCACGATAGAAGCTCCAGGAGGACAAGTTATTCGATGTTTCTCATCTTCCGTTGTTTCCTCTGTGCGTTATCGGCCCTTTCGTTGGCTTTCTAGCTCAGACTTTCCTTCTTTCCTGAACCTCGTAATCGAAAAAGGCCCTCGATCGGCCAACAGCTAGCAAGAATCTGACAACGAGAGGGTCGAGATACTTCGGCCAGAGTCGTCGAACGAGTCCTCTAACACAAATGCACACACGCAGCCCGAACGACGTAGGTCTACAAACAAGTATGACATTAACACAGGACAAATTCCAGCCGCCACCGTCTTCCGTCCGCCGTCGCGCTGTCAGTCCTTATCCCTATCGGACATGATGTTCAACGACAACGCGAGCAATCACGGCAGCATCTACAGCGAGCCAGCGTACATCGCAGGCAAGACCGATCAGGAGAAGATCTGCGACAACTGCCGTCAGAGCATGACCAGACCGGCTACAGCGTCCTATTGGTACCCTCACAGCGTCGCTCACATAGCCAGTCCCAGGAGGTACTGTGGCAAACTTGGCGATTGCAACATCTCTAGTCTAAGGCATCCTGACGGCGCGTCCAATCCGAACCTGAAGGAGGAGGTCGAGAGGTTACCGGGCAACGGGGCGTCTGGCTCGGATCCTGAGGAGGAGTACGTCGAAGCGAAGAAGCTGTTCACCGCTGCCGAGAGGTCCGAGAGGACTGTCACTGGCAAATCGGACATCGAGGAAGATCATATCAAGATACAAGGTGAGTTTGTAAATCTAGATATATCGAAACTTCAACGTCTCACCTATCGAAACGATTCTTTTCACAGCTACAGCACCGCTGCAGTTGTCCATTCCATCGCCAGCACCATCCTCGGGCCGGATGCAGCGCAAGATCACAAGCCTGGGCTCGTCCCTAGGCCTGAACAAAGAAGGCTACGATTCCGGTGCCGATTCCACTCCGAGAGCAGCCAAACTCTCACCGGCAACGTTATCCAGGCATCGTGCCGAGAGTTCCGGCTACGATAGCATCGTCAGAGACAGCGAGACCAGTAGCATCGCGAGTGACTCGTCCAGGCACACCGGTGCTCTCCAAGAACACCAAGGTAGTCGATATATCTATCCTTGATACTTGATCGAAGAGCAAATATAGTCGAGACGAAAGTTCGGAGAAGCCTTTCAATTACCGACCAAACCCCTCTTTCTACTCGCATGCCGTTTAATTCATTACCGCACTTTACTCGAGGAAACTTGCATGTTTAACAAGTCGACAGTCGTGCAAAATTCTGACGACAGAGAGAAAGAGTGAAACGATGTGGAAGCCCTCTAAAATGGTCCCTCCGTACGGTGGTTCTCCTCAGGTGGCGCTCTAGGGGTTCTAACCTCGACGTTGTGCGGGTGTTTCAGCGGTGGAACAGCGGGCGGCAGAGTTCGGGCTCCGGTCACGGGCTCAGTGCCGGGCTCATCTGCCACGGGCGCCGTCCGCGCTTCCGGGGATACTCGCGTACACAAGCGAGGACGTGGACATCCTGGACAAACGCGCGCGGTTGCGCTCGGATCCACGTGGCACGATGTCCAGGATACACAACCTGCGACTACGGCAGCGCCTTCTTAGGCTCGAGTTGCGCAACGCTAAGCGGCGCCTCATGGTGCCCGACGCCCGCTGGACTTACGATCGTGAGTACCTTTCCCCTCTGCGAATTTGTTTACTGCAGAAATTCACCAATTGCAAGATGGGATTATCGATTGTAGAGGCTTGGAGGAACCGGGAAATCTTTAACCCTTTCGCTGCGCCAGATTTTAGTACGCAACGCGAGTGGCAGACAGTAGACATTCAAACGCGGTAAAATCTGGCGGATAATAGCCATAAAAATCATTAGTCACCTTTGGCCGCCAGACCGACAATTTCGGGGCTGACAATTTTGCATTAACAAATTCGGTCCCGCGAAAGCGGCTCACAGGCATCCTCTTCTCCGAAGAAACGCGCTGCGGGCGCAAGGAGAGGGTTGTCGCCACCATCTAGGCACCCTGATTGGTGAATTTCTACTTCACAAAAATGTATAAAGAGCGAGCTCAGAACCGAACAAGGTCGAACGGCCGTAACATCTTCTGTTTCGAACGTGTTTTAAAATTTGTTCTATTCAATTAAAGTGAACGTACGCCGAAAGGCACCATAGTTTCGAAGCGCCCATAGACGCCAACAGCAATGAAAGGGTTAACTTTGGTACGAAGGAGTAAAGATAATTCTGAGAGATAATAACACAACGTAGCGTTCATTTTTAACACCCTGCAAATCAATAGGGCTAGATCCTACCATTTTCTGCCGTATAAAGAACAGTCCCTTTAATCGCAATCTTCCTAACATTGCAGTTCACGTAGAAGACAGCATGGACTGGCGAGATCCGTCGTTCCTGGAGGCGCTCGAATCGGAGACGTGTATTTTACAAAAGCGAGTGGAGGCCTGCAAGAGCCACGTCCTCTTGATCACCTGCTTCGACTCCTGTCCGCGGCAGTGCACACGCGAGCCAGAATCGCCGTCCAGGATACGGATCACCTAACCTCGACTTGGATCAGCGCGCACGACTGCGTGCTGATCGCAAACGGATCGGCCGAAATGAACGATTAGAGAAACGAGACGAGCGAGGTCGCCGATGGTAAAGCAGTGAGATGATTTAAACGAAAGGGAACCGTTGTCAACGATGTCGCTCGACTCCGTCCAATAGTTGTTAAATGAGAAAATTTAGTCGTAATTGTGATCGTCGTCGCCATTGTTACGCGCACAACCGGTGTAATAATCGATCGTAGCGGATGCTCTCATCCCCAATCTATTCGAGGAGAAAACGTTCTCGCGTTACAATTCCTGCGTTCAAACGTTTCGCTGAGAGAGAGAGAGAGAGAGAGCGAGCGAGAGAAAGAGAGAGGGAGAGAATGAGAGAGAGAGAGAATGAGCGAGAGAGAGAGAGAGAGAGAGAGGTATTCTAGCGATGTTAAAACGATTGTTGGCCGAGATAGCGTGTAGAACGCGAGACGCATACTTGTTGACTTACAGAATTATTTAGCGTACGAGTTGGTGCTGCATTTTTTATACTGCTCGAACGTCGAGGATTCGATTCTTAGGTAAATTCACCGAGTCACTGCCCTTTGGTCCGAGATTCGTAAATTTTCAACGTGAAAAGCTGTTCCGTTCGCGTGCCTAAATGGGGCCAAGCTTCGAGAACAGCGGAGCAAGTAGTCTGACGCGTTCAGGACCAGACGACCAGAGCGTTGAAAACAAATTACCGTAGCATATTGTCGTACTTGTGCGTGCTGAATCGATAGAAGGGAACCAGGAGGGAATAAGTTCTATCGCAGACCTTGGCTATTAAAAGAAAAAACATACACCGGTCCATTGGAAAGGATGCTGCGCCTCGATCGAGGACCGAAATTTAGATTGAATTCGAGGGACAAAAGGATACGTCGAATTTCGGAGAGTAAAAAATGAAAACGACCGGATAACGTGAATCTAAATGTGTACGCTATAAAGACGCGGTCTGTACCGCGACGAGAGAGAGAAAAAAAAAAGAGGGAAAATCCTATCGTACGGCAAAACGATCGACGCGATGACAAAAGAGGCGAGCGAGAGAAGCAACGGCGATGAAACGCGTCGTAGCCATTGTATTTAATGCACGCACGTTAATTCAAGAATATTATCGTAGCTTTAATCGTTATCAACAGTTACCGCACTTCGTAGGGCTCTGTAATTCACTTTAGAAGCGACTGATGAGAACCGATGGGAATGCGAGCGAGAGAGAAAGAGAGGAAACGAGAGGAGCGAGATAACGAGAAGAAGATTCCACAAGGGAGAGAATGTGTGTGTGTGTGTGTGTGTGTGTGTGTGTGTGCGTGAAAGAGAGAGGGAGAGAGAGAGTTACTTTTCCACGGTAAACGTATTCGTAATCGTAAAAGTTGCTCGGTAGAGCGAGTGCTTCTTCTCTCTGCGGCGAAATGGAAGACGCGAAGCGACGAGAGGGAGAAAGAGTAACGGTATGTCTGCGAGAGGGACGAAGAGAGCAAGGCATAGTACATGAATTTAAACGTGAGAATCACGCATTGGCAATACGTGGGCGTACACAGAGTATGGAGTGGGGAAAGAAGCCGCGCAGAATGAAAATAGACGGGATGAAAATAAATCGGGCAGAAATAGAGAGATTCCAGAGTTCCGATACGAACCGTGGCGAAACATCGACCAAAACCGCCAATTTCTCTCTCTCTCTCTCTCTCTCTCTCCCCCTCTTTCTCTCTCTCTCTCTCTGCCTGATCATCCTCTGCGTACGAAACTACCAAGTCTTGAGAAATCTGCAAATTCTTCGCAAAGTGCAGCCTTGGTCCTCCAACACTGCCAATTCAAGAGCTTAACCAGTTTCGCACAGCCCAAAGACACCAGGTTCGTCTAGACAGGCCTATAGACATCGCGAATTCGTATTCTTCGGAATATTGCTGTGCACTCTCAAGCTTCCAAGATAGCAAATCTGATCTAGCCTTATCAATTAAAGTTCAACGATGTCTACAGCCTGTAGAGTTGCAAGTCAGGCGTGTATCGTTTAGACGGTCCAAGGCTGCGTTTATCCGCGAGCACTCCGACCGAGCAACGCAGGATCGTCGCGATCCCCGTTAGTTCCCGAGAATCGTTCTCGATCGTAAAAGACCGCTGCGTCCGTTGTTAAGCGAACCCGTACGCTATTCGTCCGTGTTCTTAGAATGTTCTTCACCCGCCACGTATCGACGATGTCCACGGTTTCTCCTTTCATTCCGGTTCATTTTCGCCCGAACCGTTCAACAGCGTTCCACATGCACGACGATCTCCTCTTCTCAACGATGCCTTCCACGGGCCGCATTCCTTCCTAAACGTTCAAGAAGGACGCTGTTCCAGGACGAAGTACTTTCCTTTCCCAATTTTCTACCCTTTCTTTCAACCCCCTTCGCCCCTCTATTTTTACGTTCGAGCTAGGGAAGCGCGTCACTCCGTCTACCGTGAATAACGACTAGTGAACGATTTAACCGCCACAGCATTAATCGAAGAACGAAGGATTAACCGAATCTCCGCATCATCCCGCTCGAAGGATATCGAACAGGAACATACAGAAGACACACGCGCACACAATACCAATTTCCACACACGAGAACCGTACCGTACACATGCGTCTACTGTACCATAGTACTTGTATCATATTTATATTTTATATGTACAAATTAGTCATGTAATTTCTTGTAATAAAGATCAATTTACAACGTGTACAACCGTGCCCTCCGGAGCTGCCTTTGTCTTCCTCCCGTCTCGAATTCCCCCGCGATCGTCGGAAACGCGACAAAAAGCGACGAAAGGGGGATCAGAGGGAGGGCCTGAGATGCCGCGGAGGAATTCCTCGGGTCGCGTTCTAGGCCGCGGTACCAGACGGTCTACGCGACGAATGTAGGTCCACCTCCGTTTGCCAGCGTCTGGCCGATGATGCGGCTCGCGTGCAGGGAACAATGTTCGAGGAACCGCGACTTACTGTGGCGAAACAATCGACGGGATTGAATGGAGCGTGATGCAGGTGAGGACGTAATTAGAGATGAAGTAAGAGAGTTTGACACGCTCCGCGTGTTCAAAGGGGAATTTTTACCAGGAACTTGGCAGTACTTTTACGATTCTTCCACGGCGAATTGGTTAATTCGCGGAGAATCGTTTCGCGGAGGAGCGAGATTGGACGAGAGAAATAAATTCTCATCAAAGGAGGCACGAGATTAGGGGGCTCAGATTGGACAATCAACGGTTGAATCTTTCTATGATCGCTCGATGTGGGCACGGATTGGAGTAACCTTCAAGTCCATCAGCCAAGTTCCCGATAAACGACGATTATTACCGCAATTAAATCTTTAAAAGCGCATCTGGAGATCGCGTAATCCGCAGACCTTGGAGTCGGAGAACGTGTACCGAAGATGCAATTGAATGAATCGCGACGGCAACTCGTTTGCGTTACGCGCAACAGATAACAGATAACCGGGAGTAGAATAAAAATAGACGCGGTGTAACCTTTGCTACAACGGTGCACCGTCGTGGATAAGTTTCATAAATGTGAATCCCCCTCTCAATTATTTCGTTAAAACGTGCAACGGAGGCAAACGTAGAATGGAAACTGCCGAGTCTTTACTCGATCGCAGAGGAAACGGTAATCGACTACTGTAAACAGGAAGCGAACTGTTCGTTGATACCCGGAACGAGCTTTCCCGGAATTCGTATTAAACGTAATTTTCATGCAGAACGCTCTTTCGCTTATCAACGAACGTTCAATTAACGCAACTTCTCGAGGGGTTCAGCTATCTTCACGAACTTCCTTTCGAACCTAACGTCTGCGATAAAGAAAACTCCTACCGAACCGAATGAAAACCTAAGAAAATGAAGCAGAAGGTAAATTCAGCGAAAATCGCGACGGCACAAGAAGCGTGCGCGCTCGCGGGAAAAGAGCGGAGCCGTGATGCTCGCGGCGGAGTAAACCGGCGGGAGGGGAGGCCGTGGCACGAAATTATCGGCGGCACCGGGAGAGAGCAGAGAGACGGCGTTTCATGCGTTCGAAAGAAGAGCGAGTACGAGAGGAACGAGCGAGCAAAGGCGATTAGGGGGCGGACGAGAGAGAACGAGACTGGCCGTGGTGGCCGTGTCGATCGACAGTAGCGTGAAGGCAGTCCGAGAGAGAATGACTCGTCGCGCGCGTCTTCTAAGCGTCTCGTGGCCGGCCCTGCTGCTGGCCGTGATCGCGCCCTTCGCCGCGGCCCTAACCAAGAACGATCTATATCCTTACGCGACCTCCGGTTCCTCGATCCTTCAAACGGACACCAGCGGGTTGCTCGTCTCCGCGGAGGTGAACCTGCAGACGCCCATCGCATTCTACGACAAGATCTTCAAGTCCATATTCGTGAGTAGAGTTACCCTCGACATTTTACAATCGTTTCAACACTTCGTTGGACCGAGCGCAGATTTCGTCTAATTTTCAACGGCAGGATTTTTCAGATGTTAATTGGAAGCTCGAGAGAATTTTTTTCTTTTTTAGTAGTTTGTGAGTAGTTGAAGTGGTGGATCAGTCGGTGTGCGGAGTATTTTCTGCTGTACGTATCAGGCTGGAAGAGTGTGTCTATTTTAAAGCCGAGAAAGCCGCGCGATTCGGCGGAAAAATCGTTATTTTTATCCGCGTCGGGGGGCGGCGGTCACGGTTCTCCATCGGACAAACGGTGGCCACTAGCATCCGGCCCCGTTTAATTTCGGCGCTGACAAAAATACACGGGGAAACGCGACGCTGGAAACCGTACAAACCTCCTGGATAACCCTTGCAGCGCGCGAAACTGTGTAAACAGAGGAAGCGCGTGCCGCTGTTTACTCTTTGCGGGGGACAGGAAAATCGTTTATTTTACGTTTTAAATTAGGAAGCTGTGGACGAGAGTGTGTTGCCGAGAGGAAACGAGTGGTAAAAAGAAGAAGGGAAGAGAGAATTTATTTCAATTAGGCGCGAGGGAAATGAAAAGATGTTGGCGAAACGGCGTAATTCGTTTCGTTAAATATTAATCCGCGCGCGGTACTAGGAAAAGCCAGGAACATTCGGTCATCCCCTTAATTCGGCTGCTGGTCTAATCTGTCGTCATCTTCTGGCGTGACACGAATTCATTGTCCGCGATGACGGTCAAACGGCCGCAGCCGGCGCGCAATCGCTTAATTGCGCTTGGGTCGTCGCACGAGCTGCTTCTCGTGCCCGTTGCGCGTCACTCTTGTCACGCGGACCAGTGGAACTCGCCCCTTCGATCGTCAACCGAACTCTCGTTCGAGATAACATGTACCGTGGAATACGCGGAAACTTGTTAAACAGCGAGGAATTATAGGAAAGGCAACTTTCGAATGAAATATTAGTTAGCTTCCTGGAGGAGAGTCAGATAAGATTTCGGCGATTTATCTGGTTGAATTTTCAAGGGAAAAAGGGCAAATGAGAGATTAGCCGCGGGAAAGGTATTGAGTCATGGGAAGGCAAACAATTGCGAGATTAGAAGGAATCAGTCCTACGATGATGTCACTGCGTGCACGCAGCGTGAATGAACGTTGATTGCACACGGCTATCCGGAGGAATCTTCGTTCTAATTGATCCGGGCGAGCCAAGGTGCATGATCTCATCTGCGCGGCGGGTCCAGCCGGTGATGTTTTCATCGCTGCGTGAAAAACAGCACGTAGGAAAATGCACGCGATCGAGGCGAGATATGACTACCGTGTCCCGTGACTCGTGACGACGAGAACCGCTTCTCAATAACGCGATGTCCTTCGTCGATACGTTCGACGTTGCGTAGATACCGTATTGTGCGGTACGGCGGCGATAGAAACTTTGGAAAGATAGATCAAGGATAGATGAACTAGTTTCAGCTCGCACGGTACACGATTCAGCAAGGTTTCGACCTACGTTCATGCAACGTCTGATCGGGAAAAATTGGGACACTCTGCGTGTGAACAGGACAAAATGAAAAAAGTACTTTGTTGCCGATACCGCGGCTGTCGGAAGAGAAGCCCGTAGAATTGAAGATCGCGGCGCATACTGGATCGCGTCATCAACGTACACTTTACCGCGTTTACTACGTCGAGCACGTGCACTGTGGTGATTGAGGCTCGTAGTATAGCAGCTCCATTCATCGCGGCCTGCGTTTCGGCGCGGTCACCGCGCGATACGCCCTATCGACTCGCGTTAAAACGGCTGGAAAACTCCGGAAGGGAGGCGCGGATTCACGAGGGACAATCGCGGGAGAGGAGACTGGTTAACGAGCGGAGAGAAACGGAGATCGGAGAGAGAGATAACGGCCGGGCGCATCCGTGTATTCGAGCGTCTTCATTCATCAAGATGCGGTCTCGATAAATGAAATCGAGGCGTACCGTCCTGATACCCCGCTATCCGTTTCAGCTGGTTTTTCGCGCGGCACCACGGTTAATTAAGCCCCGTCGAGCATCAGATAAATATTTAATTAGCTGCCTGTATTACGCAAGGTTGTACGAGCGGCCGCTGTGAAAATCTCCATGCGGAACAACAAACCAGCAGCAACAATGTACCCGTACGATATGTCGACTAATTAAATAGATAAATACGGGTAGGTAAGCGGGATTTGACGCGTTTGATTCATCGGGCGGAAAGCGTGGAGAACGCGTCGGGGCAATTAGCCTCGCGCGCGTATTGCGCGTCGTTCGCGGATATCGAGCCGGAGGGAGCGGACGAGAAAGAGAGACAGAGACAGAGGAAGAGGGACGGATACCTGTTGGTTGTTCCGCGTGTTCGTCCGCGAACGATACGATCTCGCTGAAACGAATGGTATCGGAAGCCGGCCAGTTGGATTTGCATCGAGATGGACGTTAATGCGACCCGACGATTTACGGTGTAAACGGTGCCAATTAGCCTTGACGCTTTCCCACATTAGTCAACCGGCGATTTGCAGGAGGAGGAGCCTCCCGGTTGTGAAATTCCGCTCGCGATTCCTCGAGATCGTGCCGCGGCGATGACGTCGCCGAGCGTCTCGAACGTCAATTAGCCTTGCATCAAAAATTCTCGGTTAATTAAATTACCACCGATGACGAACGTTCTCGTCTCGAAACGGCTGGAAACACGATCTCTGTCTGGCAAATTCAAGAGAAGACGCTCGTTCATCTCTTCGCCCCTAAATACTCCCCTCGTAACGGTGCCAAACGCGCTTCGTGCTCCGGTTCCCGAAGAAAGAACGTTCCGTCGGCTTGATAGATTCAATCGGATGCCGGGGGAAAAAACGAGGTGCGGCCAGTTAAGAGGTTCGCGCGACGAACGTCTGACGGCCTACGCGCGTTTCTGAACGCGACGACACGCGATGGAAATCTGATGGTTCTCGGAATTTCCACGCGGAGAAATTGAACGGAGAGACGAGTGTTTTCGCATGCAAAACCCGGGGTCCGTTTTGCTCGCGAAATTGATTGACACAGATATCTCTATTTCGCCGCTTATCGTCGACGATTCGCAGTCATCAAAATGATTGCGGCCGATTACACGATTGCGTTAGCGCGTGCTGACAGCTTCGAAAGTCTTCGCTTTCGTCTCCGCGGACGAAAGGGGATCGTTCGTTTTCGTCGCAGCTCGGATGACAATTACACGGATACGATCAGACCCGCGAGTGTTCCGCCGAACGATCGAGTTTTCGAGTTTAAACCAGCACCAAGTTGCTGTTTCCCGCAATCTCCATTCGCGTCTAATTTCTTCGGCGGCTCGGGAAAGAGCCGGTTGCTTCGCTCGATTAACTTCAAATACCGCACGTTTCTGTCCTCGTCTTCCATTAATTACCGTCATTCCGTTACTTTCATCTCGTCGACTTTTCCGCAACATTGTCTTCTGCGCACCCTTTTACCAAGCGCGATAAAGTGATCGTTATTGTTCCTATTATATAATCGCGTAAATTCACGGTTTAACAAAGGCGCGATTACGCCGCTCGATTCGTATTATTCCACTCGATTCCAGTGTCCCCTACTGTTTTTATTAAACGACGCGAGATAATCAGAGTGACATCAGGAAGAGAATCGGCGAGGCAAGATGGATTCCACGTATTAGTTCGAACAAGTCCCTATCTATTTTCACCGTTTTCCCTCGCGTTCACGATTACCGTGGATTACGTGTGTGCGTGTGTGTCATCGGCTCAGCTGTGACCTACGACCCGAGCGATAGCCCCGACGGAGATAGCGCGAGTCCGACTGCTCCTCTCGAAACGCGCCACTGTCAAAACGTTCCAACACGGTCAGTCAGAGAGAGAGAGAGAGAGAGAGAGAATTGGAGAAGACGCGATCGATGACCACTCTGGAACTGGCCACGGCTCGAATCGATTATCGGCGATCCCAGTTTGCCGGCGCCCTCGTAATTATCGCATGGAAAATCGTCTAATCGGAAACGGCTAATTCGCCGCTCGATTGCTATCGATCGCGAGGGTCAGGATTAAAAGGAGAGAAAAGCTGGCCGTTCGATCGGAATAATTACGAGGACACGAGCGAGGGATTCTCTCTCTCTCTCTCTCTCTCCTTTTTTTCCCCTCTTATTTTACCTTCCTCTTTTTCCCTTTTCGGTTAGATTCTCGCGTCGAACGAATTGGTCGCAACGTGGGGCCAGGTGAAGAAAAGATTAGACGATCGATCGCGACCCAGTGCTCGAAGAACGTTCGACCGATGAAATTAAATTGGAAATAAGAAACGACGCGACAGAGGAGAAAAATTGTTGTGCAAAATGTGAGAGACGATAGCCCGGCTATCTTCTGTATTTTGTTTCTCCTAGGAATCATTGATTACGGTATCTGCTTTTAAACAGTAGCGCGAATCCTATCTTTCTCCATGTCATAACATTATATATAGAACGCTAGACACCTATAGAGACGTATCCAACATCGTACAGGCAGTGTTATATGCAAAGAGGATCATCGCCTGGTCGGATTCAATTCGTGTCAATTCCCGTGACCGGGGCGCTAATTGAACGACACGCGTCGCTCGGGTGTTAAATTCGACGCGGCGCGGCGCCCGCGGTATTAGCATCACGTGAAAACAATACCGAGCGGCGAACAATCAGCTGGAAGTTGGTGAAACCGGAACGTGAGAGCGACTGGAAACCAGGCCGGAATTCGGTTGTCGCGTTAAACTTCCCCGGTTAGCCGTTCTCGTCCGCGAACTGTCGCTTCCGCCTTCCTTCTCGTCCAACTGTCGTACATCTTCGTTTTCGACGTGTCTTATTTGACGTATTGGTGTCACTACTCCATAAAGGTAATGCGCCGCCAAATGAGCTGCTAGGTAGCCAACCGCCATTTGCAACGCTCTCGTTGTCACAGCGGGAACGGTTCAAATTCAGCAAAGAAGGCTCCGAAAATTCAAACATCTCTCCGCTTCTCTTTCTTTATTCCAGCCATAACACACAAAGAACATGAGACCTCATTTCGAAACCCCGGCGACCCAAAAATACGCGGGAGAAGTAGGCCGCGTGCAGAGGCGACTTTCGCGGCAAAGCAAAAATAGTGTTTCGTTCAAGTTTTAATTTGGTCCCCGTGAAACGACGAGACCCGTTCCCTCCCCTCGAGCGACGGCGGCGGGACAGCTGCTCCCGACACGAATATGGAGCAACGCGCGCGCCTTTCAGTTTAGCCAATTGACGAAACGACGTCTGCGCTCGCAGAAGCCAACCGAGCCGTCCCAGCCTCGAACCCGGGCCCTTTCTATTGCCTCTGCCTCGTTAAACGACGCGCACACAACCGGGTGAATGACTCCTCCTGTGCATACCAGACTCTCTGGTTGCGTCATCGACGGATTTCGCGGCACGTGCTGCCGATTTACCTGTTGACCCGCCCTTCCACGTGCACTTAAACACCGTCTCTTATCGGCACTCTAGTTCCCTGTAATCGTTCCTCTCTCCGGCTCTTATCGCGGTGATGACAATATTCAATTCTTACAGAGAAACGTAGGAACGTACGGTACCTATATCGTAGATTCCGCGAAACGTCCACGTAAATTCCATTCAAAGATTATCGAACTGTTCTCGAGGCAGCACGAACTACGCTTCCAGTTTCTCTCGAGCCGAAAGAGAATCTAGATATGCAAATTCCTCGCCAAAGGCTGAATCGCAGAAGCTCGTAAAATTTCCAAGGATCTCCCGTCCTACGGTCTAGAGCTCGGTTAGGGTGTAGAATTTAGATAAAGCCTGGGTCGCGGCAATTTCATCGCCGGATTACATCGAACGGTTAATGAAAGTCTATCTGGAAAGTCTGTAAGATCTAGTTTCTACTAGAATAATGCTACCTTTAATTTTTCCTATTTCGCGCACGGAAGAAGAAGCTGAGAAAAGCTTACCCTGTTGCAGGTGAACGGAAATGGCGTCCTCTCGTTTAGCAGAGCTATGCAAAGGTTCGTGAACATCGCGTTTCCACTCGACGATCCCATCATCGCGCCGCTGTACACGCATGTGGACACCAGAGGCTCCGGTAGGGTGTATTACGTGGAAACGGACGCGTCGGAGGTCCTTGGAAGAGCCGGAAGAATGGTCCGCAGCGCCTTCACCGACGCTGCAGACTTCGTGCCGACTCACATCTTCCTCGCCACATGGGTGGACGTCGGCTACTACAACGGAAAAAGCGACAAGGTGAGTCCGAAGTGAGTTACGCAGTTGTAAGGACATGCAGAGTGTTCTCGGATGAGTGGGCAAAAATTGAACAAACAAGCTGACTCTCAGTACCACGGAGAGAAATTTTTCTTCGTACAAAGGAGCAGAGATGGACAGAGGAGATTAGATTGATCGACGTCGCGACCTTTCTAACGCAATTCGATTTCCCCCAGATGAACACGTATCAGGTAGCAATCTCTTCGAACGGTACGCACTCCTACTTAGAACTGCTGTACCCGGAAAACGGCGTGCAATGGATTCAAGGTGAATCTCACCCCAGTGGTCTACCAGACGCGAAGGCACAGGCAGGATTAATGGCCCTGGGAAGAATGTACACTCTGAGGGGATCAGGGACGGATCAGATTCAGAACGTCGACAAGTGAGTCCAGAAGCAACCGCTTCGCGTACGATTAATCTTCGGCTATCGCTGGAATTCGCAATTTTCTCGTCTCTTTTTTCTTCTTTTAGGTGGTCGAACGTCAACAGACCTGGACACTGGGTGTTTCAAATTGGACCGATCTCCGACGAGGAGAATATACAAGTTCCCGACACCATAGAAGGTGAATTTTCCACGTCGGAGTAATACTCGAAGCTTTTTGCCTCGATTCTTTTCTTTCTATCTAGTCTCGCCGAATTCGTTTCGCCAACTACTTTCGTATTCCTTTGTCGATCAGATAGCAGCGCAACGAACCAAGTAGCCAACTGCAGAACAGGAGCAACGAGTTGCCACAGCAGGGCGACGTGCGTCGACTACGAAGTTGGCTTCTGTTGCCACTGCAAGCAAGGATACTTCGGAAACGGGAAATCTTGCCAGCCGAACGGTAAGAGTCGTGCCTCCGTGACATTACGTAGTCGTAAACTTCACCAACTGTCCAATTATATTTCCCCTTTGATGTGGCTACGCCACGTAAAAGCCAGTCTTCCGGGAGTTTCGCGCACTTCTAGGTAGTCTCTTCCTTTTGGACAGCGCCACAAGTCGATCCGTTTCATCTGCTACGCCTTCGAGTGATCCTTAGACGCTCGACACCTCCAATTGTCGGTGAGATAAGATTTTGAAAAATTCGCAGATGTTCCATTGCGCGTTTTCGGCCGCGTTTCCGGGAACATCAACAACGTCGAGTTCGCCACGAGAGATCTCCAATGCTACGTACAAACTGAGGACGGAAGAACGTACACGGCTGTGTCTAGAGTACCCGAAGAAATCGGCGCCAGTTTCCTGCTCCTTGGAAATCTAGGCGGAGTGATCGGTTGGTTATTCGCCAAGTCGGTCGGTGGAACGAAGAATGGATATCAGCTCACAGGTATATGCACCACGGTAAACCTTCGATAAATGGTGAATAAACGGAGAGATCGGAATGAAAAGAGAATGTGTAAATGTGATAGTTTCACGAATGTAGAAAAGTGTAGCAAAAATTGATTAAACGTAGCAATCCTGTGCTGCCACAGGCAGGATTAACCGCTCACCCATCCCATAACGCTAACTCCGTCCCGTCTCCTCTGGCTATTTCCCTCTCTGACAGCGGCGCAGAGTTAAGATGGAAGTTCTATCTGGCACCAGTTAGCCTAGACAAACAATCTCGTTTGCAGGGGGCATGTTCAACCACACTGCCGAGTTGACATTCCCGTCTACCGGCGACAAAGTGACGATACGAAGTAATTACCTCGGACTGGACGTCTTCGGCCAGCTAAAGATGCAGGCTGAGATCAAAGGCACGTTGCCCAGGTTGCCGTGGGACGTGATGGTCGACTACGGCGCCTACGACGAGCTCTATACCAGAGCTCAAGCTGGAGCGATCCGTGCGCAGAGCGAGCGAACGTGCAAGATAAAGGAGGCAGGTGAAGAAAGGGAGATCAACTTCACTCAGGACCAGACGTTCTTCTATAACGAATGCCCCTATCTGACCGTCGAGCCCAAAGACGACACCAGTAGATTGAAGTTCTTCAGGGGTGTCAGCACGTACGACGCCACCGAAGGAATCATTCGTTTGGCGGTGAACACGAAAGTAGCGCCTTTGGAAGAGGAAGATCCTTGCATTCAGGGGAGAGACACGTGTCCCGATCACAGTTCTTGCGTCGTCGACGGAGACAGCTTCAAGTGTGTCTGTGATCCAGGGTAAGAGGTCTAACTTCGACTTGGGAGAGTGTTTCCGAGCGATTGTGCTTAAACGATCGACTTGAACTCGCCAGGTTCCAATACCTGTACGAGGAGGACGGAAGCAAGATGTGCGTGGACGTGAACGAATGCACCGCCGGGAATCACCTGTGCTCTCCCGACGCGCAGTGCATCAACCAGGAGGGCAGCCACACCTGTCAGTGCAGGCCAGGATTCACCGGCGACGGCAGAAATTGCCAGAGTAAGTTTCTCCTTTACCAAAAGACAACGGCTGTTACCATACTCCGATAACTTGCACGAGCCACTCGGTCTGCCTGGAAAATCAATATCTCCGCGATGCTCTCTAGAAGAGAGTCTCTCTATTTTACGAGTAGCCAGTAACTGAGAAATCTTCCGTGGAAAATGTAGGATCTGTCTCGTGCGAGGAAACAAGGTGCGGCGATTACGAGGAATGCGTGATGGCCGAAGGCGAACCTACTTGCGTCTGCATTCTAGGATACCAAGATACCGAGGAGGGTTGCTACCCCTTGGTACGAGGTCAGATAATCGATTTTTTCACACTGCGAGTATCGTGGAATTGTTCGGTTGGGATTATTTAGAAAACTGCTGCAGGTTCCTGCGACGTGGAGGATAACTGCTCGCAGTACGGCATCTGCAACCTCGACCCGGAGACGCAGACGCATGTGTGCATTTGCATCCCAGGCTTCGTTGGTAAATAAATCGAAAAATTCTGTTCTCGTCGAGTTAAAATCAGTTGAATAAAATGTTCCTACGTAAACTGACGCTGTCTGACAGAGAGGCAACCACGGCAAGTATTGAATTGGTCAACTATAGCGATCGTTCTAAAGCAAAATTGTAATGGAATAGTAACAGGATCGTGTTACCGTTCGATCCGCACGAAATCGGCCAATTTCCTTGCGGCTCTGCGCACAGGAGAACGCGATTTCCAAGCGAATCTCGCGATCAACTTCCGTTCCAATGATCACCACTGTTTCCAGGTGACGGTTACACGTGCTATTCGGACGGGGATGAAACCACAACGGACGTACCGCCGAGACCACAGTGCGCAGAGGAGGTGTGCTGGTGTCCGAGAGGCTGGGAATATCGGAATAACGAATGCGTACTCCAGGAAGAGAAGCACAGGGCCGTCGACGACGACCGTGACTGTAAGTACGAAAACAGGGAAACGTTCCGACGAGTCCCGGTTCGAAACCGGCCTGGTTTCACGTTCGTGGCTTTAACCCTTTCGCAGCGGCACATTTACTGGAAAAATCTTCACTTTCGGCGTTTTCAAATTTGAGAAATATTTCAAATCCCAGAATTTATCGTTCCTAAATTTCTTATCGAACTAAGGTGCAAGTGCGCACAAGGGTTAAGAACGCGAGGAAGTTAACTTGCACGTGAAAGATTCCGATAGACATTAGAGGTTTGAGGCATTCGAAATACTGCTCGATCTTTTGAGAATGAAATATCAAGCTGAATCTTCCAGCGTCGAAGATTGCGCCTGAACAATCGAGAGGCTTAAGTAGAATTCGTTTGCGCGAATCGAACGCTTCTCAAGGGATTGACGCGCATAGGCGAGAACAGTGCTTGACGACTAATCGCACGTAGAAGCGTAATTCCGAATGGCAATCGCGATAGCACCAAGTTACGAAGCGATTATAATTATCTGACGTGATTTGCGACGATCACTAACCGGCAGCGACGAACGGTTTGCATCGTGCGTTCTAGTATCGGCACGCCCAGTCCCGGAATGCTACGAAGACTACTGCATATGTCCCTGGGGATACGATTACGACCATTCGGAGGAGATTTGCGTGCCACAGCCCGGATACAACCACGAAACAATGGGTCCATCAGGAGTTCACTGTACGATACCACGCTTTGCTTCCGCTAATTTCCTCTGGCCATTAACAATTTTTTTTCTCGCACTAGCTGCACGCTTCACGCGCATACTTATCACATGGTATCTTTGTCTCTCCGTCGATCGATCGTATTTACCCGTCGACTAAATTGACAAAATCAATTGGTCGTTGATAAATATTCGTACAATATATCATTTTCGAATTGGCAAGGATGAAAATCAAACATTCGTACATTTTCAACTTCTGACGGGACAAACAAACGGAATTACGGTAGCTCTGCCCGTTAGAAAATACTTGGCGCGAGCACAGCGAAACGCGATCGATACGATCAATTCGCAATTACACCGGCATTATCATAATTGCGCACGCTTGTGTCCAGTATCGTGCAACGTGGTGAACAGGTGTCATCCCTACGCCCAGTGTATCTACGTGACGAGCACGACTCACTACGAGTGCCGCTGCAACCCGGGCTACGAGGGTGACGGTATGGAGTGCAGGAAAACAGGTACGTTCGTTTGCATCTTGCCCCCCGTCTTCTCTATTCTTCTACTCATAATTCATGCGCGAGAAAATACAAGAACAGAAGAGTTTCGTATGAAAAGTGTTATTTTGACACAGAGGTGTCCTGCTTGGATGTGGACATATGCGACCCTAACGCGTCCTGTCAGCAAGAAGAATCACTGGCCAAGTGTGTCTGCAATCCTGGCTACGAAGGAGATGGAACCACTTGCAGTCCTATCGGTCATATATCATCTTTCCTACTTTTTGTTTCTACATCTCTCTTATCGCGCTCTATCTTGAAAATGAAAAAAAAAAAGAATTACGCACTCGAATTTCGAGCACGAAAGAAAAGGAACGTCGCTTGAGCACTCGTGATAATCGCACGAGGCGTAGAAATCAATTCGAGCTTAGTCGCGGAAATTGACATTGAAACGAATTACGATTCATCAGCGAAAATGTCCTCCCTTCAACCATCGCTTCCAATTCTGATACAGACGAGTGTCGCGGCAAATCTGATTGCCTGGAGAACGAATACTGCTGGTACAACTCGGCGAGCACGCGGTACGAGTGCACGTGTAACCCTGGATTCAGCATGGTCGACGGGCATTGCGTGGTCTCCGATTGCTCCACGAATCCTTCCCAGTGTCACGTGAACGCGCAGTGCGTGTCCGCTGGCAACGGTGGCTACAAGTGCGTCTGCATAGAGGGATACAACGGTGACGGGACCCGGTATTGCGTCGAGGACCACATCGGCTGCAACGTGCTACATAATTGCGGCAGAAACGCGATCTGCGGCTACAATCAGACCTCCGCGAATTTCGCCTGCGTATGCCAGCCGGTATGTTTATTGAATCCGCAAATTCGCCAGGGTCGAATTATGGCTTTCTAAATAGACGGTGCAATGATTGGATAACAGTCACAGGGACTGATAGAAATTTCATCGGATACGTAAGGAGGGGTGGAGAGAGAGATAGAGAACGTTATTGATTGATCTACTTGTGCAGATTCAGGTTGCCTAGAAGCAGTGGTAAATGACAGCGAGCGGGTAGACAAGTAGGATTTTAATGAGGTATTTCAAAGTGGACGAAGGTTATTTATTAGATAAGCAGGTTTGGTTGGAGTAGAGACAGTAGTAATGGATGGTCTGTGGTCAGACGCGGTGCTAGTTGCATTTAGATAACGGTCTGTGGTCGGTCTACTTTGGGTTTGCTTTAGGACCAAGCAGTAGTAATAGACGGTTGGTGATCAGACTTGCTATTGCCCGCGTAGTAACCTTTTATTTCGGCAATTTTTTGAAACAGAAGTAAAATATCGTAAATTGGAACGAAAATATGTTCTATAAAAGTGCTATTGCTAGTGTGGTAAATATGTTTAGTTATCGTAACGAAAATATGTTCTACAATGTGGACGTATAATTAAGTGGAATAAATTTGGGGATAAAAATCGGACGCTAGGAAGTAGTGAGAGGCTATAAATGATCAGACAGTTCAAAATAAGAGTAACCTCGCTCTCGGTCCTGCGCATAGACAGAGAGCGTAAGACGGAGAGAAACGTAGGCGGTTAGGCGCGTGGCATGCGCGAAACGAGGTTACTCTTATTTTGAACGATGTGTAACAACGAATTCTCCCGCAAGACCACATCGAGCGATACGAAATCTGATCACGAACAACAACCCTTCCTAATGTTTCCCATAAAATCCTGGCTATTTTCAGGGCTTTTACGGCGACGGTATGACGTGCCTGCCCCAGTCCTCCTGCAGACTGGACTCGAGCCTCTGCTCTCAGTTCGCAACCTGCGTGACAGCTGGCGACAATCAATTCGCTTGCGTATGCAACGAAGGTTTCATCGGAGACGGAGCTAATTGCAAACCAAGACCGAAACACGACTCTGACTTTCTACTGGTGAACCAAGGAATGGCCACTTTGAGGATACCGTTCGTAGAGACGCCCAAGAACGAAGGAAGCCCGATCTACATATCGTACACGCAGATGGCAATCGCTATCGACATCGACTGTATGAACGGGAAAGCGTACTCGAGCGATATCACCGGTAATAATCGATCCTGTTCGTTTATAGGAATCAAGCGGACCAACTGGAATTTTCTCGCGAAAATTTATTCAAAATTTACTGACACTTGGCTCTACTCGACACTCTACGGATGCTCTCTGTCAACGACTCTAGCTCTATCATATTTTGACTCTCAATGCCTCAAGCCCGTTTCGTTCACCCTGCTTTACCCTTTCGTTCGCTCATTCTCTCTTCCTCTAGTTCTTTCACTCTTCGTTCACCCGATACTCTCGCGCTCCCGTTCCAAACACTTACCATTCACACCTCTATCGCTCGGACCCAAATCCAGTCCACACACTCGGTACAATCGTTCTTCTGATCCAGCATTCCTACAATATCAGCAAGAGCGAGAGAGAGAGAGAGGAGGTTCAAGTATCCGTCTAGACGAGATTTATTTTCCAGATAATCGAATAATCGAATTAAATTACAACGGATCGATGGCCGAGACGTTCATGCCGAAAGTTAGCAGCCCCGAGGGACTGGCGGTCGATTGGGTCTCGAGAAATATTTTCTGGACTGACTCGGGAAAAGTGACCGTCGAGGTGGCCAATCTTGAGACGAAGAAACGAAAGGTGCTAGTTTCCGACGGCCTGATCAATCCTAGAGGGATAGCCGTGCACCCGTATCGCGGGTGAGTATCGTTCTCTCCACTCGCCATTTATCTGCCGGCTACTTAAAAACGAACACCACTCTTCCGTGGAAGTCCGTCGATGAATTAACACTTGGAGCACGAACTCTAAGTACCCTCTGCATTTTCTTCGTTGAATAACGACGAATAAAAGTAACAAATAAATCTAGATAAATTAAGAGAGAAATATCGAACTGTAGGGAGAAATTCGTCGCTTTCAGGAAGATATTCTGGTCCGATTGGCACCGTGTTTCGCCTAAATTGGAGTGGGCCAACGAGGACGGCACCGAGCGTGCAATTTTCCTTCAAGGGGATTATGTGATGTTACCGAATTCATTAAGTATCGATTGGGCGACGGATGAGCTATGCTGGGCGGACGCCGGAACGTTCACGATAAGTAAATACAAATCTCCCCGTGAAATTTTCCCCACCGATAGACGTGCCGGCGATGATCGTTCGTTAACTCGATAATCTCCAATTCCCCTCCACCTCGTTCACCCTGTCCCTTTTTGATAATCGTTCGCAGGCTGCATGGAGATCGATAGCAAGCAGATTAACGTGGTCGCCAACGAGCTCTCCTATCCGTTCGGTCTCGCGATCTCGCATCAGCATTATTACTGGACCGACTGGAAGACGTAAGTAACCATGTCGCAATACTGTTACAACGGAGAACAACACCGTAAACGATCCAGTTAAGTCTAGCGCGTAAAATACGAAGATATTTAAAATCGTCCATTATTTACCGGCACAGGCACAAAATCGAAGTCGCCATGAAGAGTAGCGGGGACAGGAAGCCGGCCATATCGGTTCCACCGGGAGGAAGCGGTAAATTATACGGAATAGTAGCCGTTCCCGAGTCATGCCCAAGAGGTAAATCAAGTTTTACGTCACCATATCCCCTGTTCCCGGTGAAATTGATCACCTCGTCTTAAAATTGCATAAAACCATTCTCGGAATATCGTGACAATTTCCCACCAAGATCCTCTCTCTCTCTCTCTCTCTCCCCGTATCGTATCCATTATTCGATTGACCCGTGAATTATCGTAACGTCTGTGTTCGTGACAGTGACCAACGTCTGTCAGTTCGAGAACGGAAGGTGTAACGAGGAACAACTGTGTCTGCCCGACGGCCACGGGGGTAGATCGTGTGTGTGCGCGGACGACGCGACAGGACCTTGCACCGATTCGCGTTAGAGGTGGTTGTTATCTTAAGGATCGAGAAGAGGGCGGACTCGAGGCGCAGGCTGGTTACGTTAAAGAGAGGCGAGCGGAAGACAGGGACAGCTCGAGTCGCGTTTAGAGATCGCGTGTAAATTATAACATTACTACACTTGGTACGATTAGTTTGTCGTCCACGTTTTCGAGTAACACTCAGTCTTTTGTATCTAACACCGGAGCCGCGGGCCGGGAGATGGCTGTAAAGTGGCCGCGGCTCGGTGACGCGTTATTTAATAAAATATAAGAAATACATCGGTGGTATTATTTTTTGCGACGGTTACTTTGCAGGTGACACAGTGTTTCTGAGTCTGCTGCTCGCGTATGTCCTTACGACCGTTTGAGGTTATAAGGATATTAGGGGTAATGAAGGTAATGAAGTTTAATCGTGAAGGAAATAATTCGTAGTATACTATTTAATGAAGCAGTGTGGATGATGTGCGTTGAACTAGAGATTACGATGTTTCTCTTTGATGTCTGGTGGTGAACTGACTCTCTCACGAATTTCCGAGTCGAGGGAAATTCGTGAGCCGGTCTCGTCACCTGATTGGTAAGTATTTTTTGCCAATCAGCTGATAGATCCACCGACTTGCGATTCCGGGCAGGAGAGGTTGGAAGATGCTATGTAGGAAATTTGGCAACGTGATGGAATTTCCGCCAGGCTTGGATCCTGCGGTCCGACCTGGTCGACGGCACTGGGCCCGGTCTCAATGACCCTTTGGAAATTCATGTTTATGGCACGTGCAATTAGTCGTTGAGGACGAAGAAACTCGAAGAAATACAATTGCAGGATAAAAATAAATCGACTCTCAAAAACGACTTTACTGACTTGCGTGTCATAAACGTGCTTGCAATTTGCACTTCGGATGTTGTCCCTTGTGCAAATTGCTAGCCACCCGTGCTATTCAAGACGGCCAAAATCATTACAAAGGGAAGGCCAAGGTCCCGTGGGTATGCCACGGCACACACAGTTCGAATTGAGGATATAATGTGTACCAGTGGTGAAGATTAGAGATCAGTTCTTGTCGCGTAAATCGTAATAATTGCCTAGAAATGATCTGGAGCGATGGAAATATTGGAATTATTGAAACTGAAGCACGGTAGAATTTTCTCACTTGCAATGTGGCGTCATCGACGGGAGAACGAGGAAGCTCGTTGGAAGTAAATCTCGACCATACCTAGATCGCGCCTCGTCTACGACGACGACGACGACGACGACGAAGAAGAAGAAGAGGTAAAGTCAAAGCTTAATTTCCCGAACGATTACGAGCATTAAAGCGTTGCTTTGTCGTCGTTCCGACCGTCAGACGGGAAAATAAAGTTGTCCCCGTTAAGGTGGCGATAATGAACCGAAGGTTCGAGCGGCACTCTTTGTTCCCACGAACAAATAAACTTCCGCGGTAACGTTGCACCGCGAACCTCGGTGATCTAACCAAAGGGAAGCCAATTACGGTGTTCATTACCGTCGTAACAACCGGCCATTTCATTTTCCCGTCGTTGCATTACGTTAATAAGCAACTACTTAGGTGGTCTTGATAAGAGTAACAGGACTTTCTAGCCCGGCGGTATGAAACAAAAAAGAAAAAAACAGAGAGAGAGAGAGAGAGAGACGATATTCCACCCTGCCTACGTTCAATTACCCAGGCTTCGCGAGTCTAGTTGTAAGGCGAAAGAAAAGAAGCAAAGCAGGGAGGGAAAGGAAGCGGGTCACAGTGTTGTGAAAAGTGCCATCCGCATCGAAGACCGCAAAAGGATCCATCGACGAACAATTCAACTCCTCTCTCTCTCGACCAGACAATTAAATTTTCCTTACCGTCATCTCTTTGAATACGTCTAATTGGCTGACCGCAAAAACCGACGAGGAGTCCTCCTCTCTCTCTCGTTGCGGTTCGACGACGATGCAATTCGACGATTGGACGGAGAGAAAAAGGAGGAAACGCGGAGAAAGCGACAACGGACATCAAACCTTAGCTCGGAGTTCCCACCGCAGAGACAAGAATCTCCTGGCAATGCGTCTCCAAGGAGTTTCCCCGTAGTTCTCCACCGTCCGGCGTAAGGTTAACGGGCGAAAAATCCAGGGAATGGAAGAAAGCCACCGACGGTAGTGTTGTTCCTCCATCTCCTCGGGAAATTACACAGTTTTTTTTCTTCCTCTTCGATCGGCTTCACTCTCTCCTTCTCTCTTTCCTCTCCGTTCTTTCTCCCCCGGCGAGATAAAGTGTACAATCACGGAGTTTCGACGAATTTTCCGACTAATATCGACGACGTTTGTTACAAATATTTAACGAAGAAAGAAATACCTGGGTGGAAGAAGTTATTTGGAAGACAAACAGGCAGTCGGAGGGCAATATCGAGAAACGGTGGATATTGTTCTCTCATGAATATCGATGCAAACTTGCCCGGTACTTTCCAATAGGAATCGAGCAAGTTTGTTATTTAAACGGCCGATCCTTCCACGATCGGTTTCAATCATTTGCAATTCTATTTCCTCTACTTGTCCACCCTGTGTACGCACCGAGCGTGGCTTCTTCCCAACGCGTTCACGATCTCTCTTTATCTTCACGCTGGAGGAGAAGTTCAACAGAGGTAAGAGAGATCGGTAGGCGATTCTCAATCCGGCGCGATGTCTGACCATAGCCAGGCAAGAACTACTTGCCAGCTAAGCGTAATCGAAGAACGGATAATTCCGACTCGGAAGGTGAATTCGCGCTCGTTCGAGGCTCTCCCTTTCACGGTATTTATGTATCAAAAGCTGGAAAAACCACGGAGTAGCCCCGCAGAATCGATAAAGTCTTGCTCACAATCGGCAAAAACCGTTGCTCAAGTCCCTCAGTCGCGCGCAAAGCGAATCTAACTTCTCGCAGTCTCTCTGTAGGTTCTGCCTGTACTTGGACCACACAACCCGCATTAAGCAACTCCCAGCTGATTTCACCGACGGTTGCCGGTGAAAATCTAGTCAGGAGCAGCTCGTAGCACCGGCGGTGGACGTTAATTCGCAAGGGGGCGGCGAGGGTGCACGAGCGCGTCGAGTGTATTCGCGGAAGATCAAAGTGGGGCTTGGTTTGTAATAGGTTTAGTCTCGGGGAAAGAAGATCGAGAGGGAAAAGTATCGCGAGGCGCATCAACGATGCGTTTTCCAGTCGTGAAACACACAAATACGGGGAGCGCCTCGTTCCAGAGACCGCGCAATTTGCAATTTGCAAAAGAGCCAGCGAGGCTTTTGTCGATCGGTGAATAGCCGCGCGGATTGGAAAACGTCGGTTAGACGTCTGCCAGTGACGGGTGCTCGATCAGCCGGTTGCGCCGTGCCCTTTTCCCGCTCGACCACTGACTTTCCTCTGCCTCGGCTTGCCCTCTCGCTTTATTTCGTTATTCCGACTCTGTTCTTTCCTTTTCGCCTCAATTACCGGTCCAGTCTTCGAATTAACGGGGCAACGAGCTCGAGTAAAGTGGAAACTTGCCGAAGGAATTCGCGTGGCTGAATTCGTTGACACGAGAAACTATTGGAAATGGGTTATTGAAATAACAGAGTCCTTGCAACTGCTAATATTCTTTAGCGTCTTTACTCTTTCAAATGCTCCATCGAACTGCCTCTGGGCACCCAAAAAGGGAAGGCTGGGGTCCGCTTATCCAGACGCATCTGCTGGAAGTCTTAGTGTCTTTGCGTAAAAGAACGCGCAAACATTTTTGTTCTCGCTTGATCATTTCTACAGGGTGCTGCTAGAAATTATTCAACAGAAACGATGAATTTTATAAAGAATATTCCTTTACCTTACGTCCCGTTCCTTTTGTCAAACATTTTTACCAAAAACGATACGTGCAACGGAAGCCCGTCGACCTCGTAAAGCCGTCCCATTAATAATCAGCATCGAAACAGGCATACCGTTCGCTCGGCCATACCATCGTCAAAATACCATCGACGCATTCTGCTAAGCTCCGCCGACAAAATAGAGGGAACGCTCGTTCGATTGTTCGCGGGTTAGCAGAAACGTATTGGTTCGCGATGAAACTCTACGCCGTGTTATGCACCGTGCGTTTAATCAATGCCATAACGTAGCAAGTTTAATTACTTTATGGCCCTCCACCGCCGAGGCTTTTCCTTTGATCGTTCAACCGAGGGCTCGCGGGCGTACCGAATGAATCGCGTGACCGCCTAAGAAAGACGACAGGCGACAGTCTTTTTCGGTAGAGTAAGCTGGAAACGTCCCGAAGGAGGAGGCGCCGCCGCCTGTGTCATCAGCAAATAACCGTGTCGCCTCTCGTTAACGTTTCCTTACACAAGACGTTGCAATCGTCGTCGCTTCCGCTGCACGAATGTTTGCCAAATCTCGATTACACTTTACGAACATTGTTTATTCGGATCAGCCTTCCTACCGACGTGCATGTGCGAGAGGCTGCGTATCTTTTCGGCTTTCTTTAAGGGAGTACACCGCTCTGACGCTCTGAGGCGGCGAAAAGTAGGCGAACTTTGAGAATTTCTTTCATAGATAATTAGTAAATGAAAAGCTTCAACTTTTTCGGAGGACGTAAACAGAACTTTCAGCTTTCTTCTCCAATTTTTGAAACGTAGAAATGTTCACGTATTCGAAAAATAGCAGAAAAATTTCAGACAGGAGAGGTCCGTATCCCCTAAATAATGGTTTCTCTAATCGAAAATTCTATCTGCCTCGTGCCTCGTCAGCGATCATACGGAATTAATTCAACGTTATTCCTTATCATCTAACGGTAGATTCGAACGGTATCTCGACAGCCGCTCTATCAATTTCCCCAGCCCTACAAACACACTCTCCCGTTATCTCCCGCCTCGCAGAACCTTTTATTCCAGTTCCATCCCACGGCGAACGATCTTACTTCCACACCTCGGCCAGTGCAACCTCCGCTCTGCGATAATGCGCGATTTTTGCAACGTTCGTTAATCGTGGCCGTGCAAACACCGGAAAAGGTGTGGACGGTCGGCAGCCCCCGGGGAGAGACGCGCAACTGCTGTCCGCAGCGGAAACACAAACGAGATTATGCCGCTATCCGGCCGAGTGTCCGAGGGAAAATAAGAAGCGGTTCCACCGCGACGACAATTACGCGACAATTATCGGGCGAATGCAATTACAGGACACGCTGGTCACCGCAAATTTCCACGAAACACGCGACGCGCCGGAAAAGAGAGGCGCGGCGAGCATCGGTGGGGAAGGGTGAAACCACGGTAGCGCGAAGGAGCATGCGAGGAGGAAGTAAAGGAAGAGTCGCGGAAAGAGTAACGAAGAGCAGGAGGAGGATCGAGCATCTCTCGCGCGTTCCTCGCGAACGCCGTCGCACGTACCGACGCGTCTAGTCCGCGTGCTCGCGCGGAGGAGTAGGGCCAGGGGGGTGGACGAAGAGGAGTCGCGCTAGTCAGTCGGCGGTCAGACTCCGCGTGCGACGTCTCGTTGCCGTGTCTCGTGCCGTGGCTCTTTTCCTCCTCCCCTTCGACGACCGGGCCGCGCGATTTTTCGCCACGTGTGTGTGTGTGTGTGTGTGTGTGTGTGTCTGTGAGTGTGTGCACGTCTACAACACCTCCCTTGTGAATTTTCCGTGTAATTCGGGAAAAGAGAGGAAGGAGATTTTCCTCTCAGCTGGAACGATTTAATCCTCGGTCGTGCGAACGATTAATTTGGTGTTACACAGTGAATGTTGCCGGGTGTCAGTTCGAATATCGAATTAGTCGATCGACGAGGGTTGATCGGAGGTGATTTTGACGGTTTTCGGTGGATGTAGGAGAGGGTGTTAGGCCTCCTCGTTAGATATTGCTCGACGGTACGGTCGGAGCAGAGACCGATGCACGGCCGCGACAAAAATATCCACGAAAAATCTCGGCAGCCGGCCAAGCGGCCTCGAGAGATCGCCGTAGTTCGGGGCACGGCTTTGATAAGATAATTTAAAGGGGGCTTCGTCGCGCTTGGACCCACGACTTTTCTCCGTGGAGAAAAATTCTACTCTCGTTTCGCCCGGTTTTAAAGGGAAGATCGCAGGAAGGCGCGAACGGCGAAGCGGTGAAATTCATCTCCCAATTTCAATTAACCGGAAAAACTTAGCCGCGCGAGCTGAAATTGTCTCGTTGGATTCTAATCGGCGGGGACGTACGTTCACCGACGTGCACAATCTCGGTGAAAACGTCAGGGACCACAGGCCACTCGTTTTTGCCAAGTGGCTGTTCACGTGGTCATGCATATTCAGTCTGGCAAGGGGAAAAACAAGCGAATGAAAAGTTTATACTGACGGAGCGCAGGGAAAAGCTACGTGGCGATTTTTACTCGTGTTGTTACTACCTCTCTCCCTGTTTCGCGTGACGGAGTTAAACGAGCGCTTTTATTTCGCCAGAGAGGAAATTAACGACGAGGGTAAACAGTTTACGCGGAACAAAGTGTGGAAGAGCCGGGGAGTCGCGAATCCGCCGAAAAATTCCGGTAAAGCGAACGCGTCGATAGATTCGTCGCGCGAAAAACGAGCGTGCGTTTCCGGCTTTAGTTGCGAAAATCGGCCGAATTATTTTGTAAAACGTTCCGTCTATCCGACTGTGAAAAAAAAATCCTCGACTCGGCGTAGAACGAGCAAATTTTATCGCTGGCAAACAGGACGAGAACGAGGAAGCAGCGAAATATTTAGTTTACCGCGGAATCAATCGCGTATACCCGGTGAAAAGTTCCATCGAAAATAATGCTATCGGCGAAAAGGCAGCGACGTACTCTCGCGTGAGAATCACTCGAACCGAAGAGATAACGCCGATTTTTACTCTGGAACAAGCTTATCGGTTTTCAATTTACCCCGAATACTTTAATACTTTGCTGCGTGGCTGGACGCGTGTCCGTGAGAAATGTTCCATTGCCAGTCACGGCAGCTGGTACACCTCGATACTCCTCGACCGTCCCATAAAACATTCCCCTCGTTTCCTCCCTCTCCGACCCATCCCGGCCGCGTTTGTTTATGCGCTTTTATCGCGAGGCTAGACCGCCGGTCTGTCAACTTTTGCCCCGCAGCTAAATCATCCTCAACCCCTCGATTCTTTCCCCCCTCCCCCCGAATTTCAGTCACGGTGTCGTTCGCTTCGCGCGACTGGAAATATTTGCCACGCGTAGATAACGGTGCTCGGTCGATCTGCACAGCGACAAACCGCGTCGAGAATCGAGAGATTCGCGGAGGCCTAACACCCAGCAAATCCTCCCAATCAAGCCGTCAATTTGCACGCTGATACCTGGCCACTGATATTGCAGAGCCACGTTTGATCGGATGAAATCCCCGTTGGTCCAACAAGGATCGTTCGGAACCGTGTAGATCGCGAGTGGATCCCAGTGAAAATTGCCAGACATTGGAGTTGCGGAGAGAAGAACGCGGCTGAATCCCGCGCGTCTCTATACAACGCGAGGAACTGTGCGGACACACAGCGGGGGGGAAAAACGCGCGTCTGTATGTGTCTGTTGTACGGTGATAGTGAGCAATCGAGCGTGGATCGAGCGTGGAGCAAGAGCGGAAGCTGGGTAGGAACGTTAAATGAATGTTGTTGCAAGGGGCGGCTGTGATCGTGAGAGTAGAACCGGTGCACGGCGGGATCGGCCGATTTCAATTCATAAATGCGCCAGAGGAGGAGCCCACAATGGTGGCTCGGCTCCCGCAACAAGTTCTACTGCTGCTCGTACTCGGTGAGTGGAACACGCCTCGCTATCTATATTCTATATTTAGGCGCGTAGACGAGCCGGAGTCTCTCTGCCGTGTGTTCGCTGAAAATATAGAGAGGTTCGGAAAGCCCCGCAGACTGCGTTATGGCCGATCGTTCCCCTTTTCGTTCACCTCCTATCGGGGCTAGTCACGGTGAACGCGCCCGCTGCTACCTGTTACGCATCACGGCGATTGCGGAGTTGAAAAG